AAGATAAGTGGAGTTGTCAACGCGTTCGACCACTTCACTCCCTAACCTCACTTCAGGTGTTGACGCAGACCAGTCCTGAAGCGACAACTTGCATTTTGAGGGGAAGAAGCGCATTCCAAACATTCTGGCATTGTTGCTTAGTGCTACCAAAAGACTGCATATTATCAGCGTCTTCACCAAACAGGACTATGTCATCTTCGTATTCTAAGTCGATAATTGGACCTCCTGGGAGGAGATCAATGCTCGAGAATTCAGTCGACGAGAATGTTATTTCCATCAATAGGTCTATGATGAAGTTAAACAAAAATGGAGAAAGTGGACAGCATTGACGGATACCACTTGAGGTTGCAAAAGCAGATGACAGTTCGCCATAAGCTCTGACTCGACTAGTAGTATTCGAGTAAGGAACCTTCACAAAGTTTATGTACTTCTGGGGTACGCCTTTCAATGACAGACACTGCCACAGAACCTCGCGGTCTACCGAGTCAAATGCTGCTTTTAAGTCAAGAAAGACCACCACTGTCGGACGTCGATAAGTATGCCTGTGTTCTAGAACTTGACGAATGGTGAATATGTGGTCGATGCAGCCACGACCAGGTCTGAAGCCAGCTTAATTCTGTCGTATTTGCAGTTCACGAGTCTTTGTTAGGCGTCGTATAATTATTGATGCTAGTATTTTAGATGCTATGTTAGTCAAACTAATCCCTCTATGGTTGTCACAGGATGATTTTGACCCTCTCTTATATATTGGGACGATAAGTGATTGTTACCAGTCAGATGAGTTTAACGTCCAACTCCCACATTTTAGCTAAAATATTAGTCAACCTAATCGCTAAAATTGGACCACCATCCTTAAAGACTTCTGGAGCCAATCCATCTGGACCAGCTGCTCACCTCGTTTCAGATTAGCTATAGACTTTTTGAACTTCAGCAAGAGTAGGGGGACCTACTTCAATGTTCCATTCACGCTGTCTGGGAATGGAGGGTAGTTGTAGAGTAGCTGAAGGCCAGCTGAACTGTTCCCTAAAGTGTTCCGCCCATCATTCTAAACGTCTGGACTGGGAGTAGATAGGAATGTCGTCTTTTCCCGAGATACTCTCACCTACACTTGACTTATTAGTTCCAGTTTCTTTTATTAGCCTGTAGAGCTGTCTTGTGTTCCCTATAGCCGCCGCCTTTTCCATCTCTTTTGCTTTCGTTGCCCACCACTGCTCACGGTCGTTCTTTAGACTTTTGGTTAACCTAGATCTGATTTGTTGTCGCTCTTCATCGTGTTCAGAGCCTGCTGGGATGAGTTTACGAAGATCTTTCAGTGTGATAGACTTAGTAGAAATCCACTGGTTTTTCGTGACCCTTCAGTTCAAACCACAAATAGGTGTCGCTGCTATTTCCACAGCTGTCTGTATATCTTTCCAAGCAACATCTGGGTCAACCTCGTTTTCAGAACTACCTAATTTTGACCTCAGTTGTTCCTGGAACCTACTTTTGGTTTCCACCCTATTCAAGTCAGTTCTAATGGGTCTTTCTACTGTGGCTCTTTTGCGTCCAGTTAGGCGCAAGCAGATGCGTGCCCGTATTAGGGCGTGGTCGGAGTCCAAGCAGGTACTCCAGAATGAGCGACAATCTTGTACCGACCCTCTCCAACGATGACTGATGGCAATATGGTCTATTTGAGTCCATCGTTGGTTTGGTGCAAGGGGTCGCCAGGTTAGATGATGTCTTTCCTTGTTTAAAATGTGTGTTCGCAAGAAATAAACGATTTTCTGAACACAGTTGCAGCGGATGATTACCATTATCTGTTCCTTGTGCCGGAATACTAAAATACCTACTTAAATGCCTTTCTGTTTGGTTTAGACTACCTAACTGGGCATTAAAGTCACCTGCTACGAGTACTATTTCTGAACGTTTAGCTTTTTGAATAAGTTCAGAAAGCTTTCTGTAAAAGTCATCTTTCACTTCATCTGAGATGCAGTCGGTGGGGGCGTAGGCAGAAACAAAGAAAAGGCAATGACGTGTGTCCCTATCCTTCCGAGTTCTTACGGAGCCGTTTAGCCGAACAGCAAATAGACGAATTTTAACGGGGATCCACTCTAATAGTGCTTGTTCCGCCCTCATGCTTACTGCTATACCTACACCTGCCAGTCCACGAGAACTGGCCGTCGGGTCAACAGATACACGGAGGGTGTATCTCGTTGACTCTCCGTTTTGCCGAGGTGAGGTCAAGTGAATGACCACACTGGGATTCTGTATGCGTGTTTCGGAGACAAAACATACATCAATGGTACGAGATTCTAGGGTTTTAGACAGAGAGCCTTGCTGGCCGATTTGACCTAGGGTGTGTACGTTGAAGGCTGCAATGTGTGGTTTGGAGCGAGGTTTCAGTAGACCTGGGACAGTGTTTTGCGCACTAGAATCGTTGGCTATGGTGACACTTGAGGGGGAAGCCGAAAGGGGAAGTTTAGAGGTGAATGTCGATGTAGGAGGAATAATAGGAATTGAAGAGGGAGGTTGATTATGAATACAGTGGTCTTGAGCGCTGTTAGATATATGAGTTTGAGTTGCCATATATTAGAGATTAAAACCTTATAGTGGTAGAGGTAATAATATGAGCAGTAATCGGAAACACTAGGGTTTGAAAATGTTATTCAAGGAGTATAATCCAGTGAAATAAATTTGAAAAGAGAAAAAAGGACGTGAAGAACTTAGATTAGAACTTGGGAGAACACAAAGAGTGGATGCACCTGAGTCACTGCAAACGATTTTGAGTCATGTCATTCAGGGTCTCTAACCATTGGTCGCTATCATCTCGCAGACCCCAAATGCCCTGGTACGGCCGAGAGTGGGGAGAGTCCGTTCTCCCTCTCGAAATGCTCTCACATGGCCACGCGTATATAGTCTGTCAGGGAAATCCTACTCATTGCCTTCTCGTGGCGGGGGTGTTGTTTACGAAAATGAGAGGACGAAAAGTGAATGTCCGTCGCTTCAACCGGATTCCAAACCAATGGTGCACATGGGCTCCAGAATCCTGCGGGAACAAATGGCGTATGAACCGATTTTTGGTCACGGGTTTCCATGGGACTGCATCTCCTTACGATGCTCCACTGCCTTGTGGATCAGACGCTCAGGTCGAAGGCTCGGAGTGTGGCTCCCTAAGAAAACCACCTGCTTCGGTCTGGGCACCCGGGCAGTATCACAGCCTCACACATATCGAATGAGATTTGTGGGGCGCAATGTATTTGGTGCCTCTTTGTACCAATATCTATGTGTTGAAATAATAATAATATAAGTCTACACCTACTAACACGGGTCAGTTCACTTGTCAGTGACTTCATGGATTTGTGCCAGACCAAAACATAGCTTTCTACATACAAAACGTTTGATGGAACCATCATCTCTCCTGCTGATCAGTATGTCTAGAAAAGGAGGCTGGTTATTCTTCTCTCCTTCGCATGTAAGAGAAATATGCTTTTGACTTGTGTTGAGTTCTTTTAACAAGAGGTTCACATCTTCAAGTTTATCACTTATGATTATGATGTCATCTACGTACTGCTTATACAGGCATATCTTCTGAATCGAGTCTTCAGCCAGATTTTCCACATATTCCATAAACACATTAGCCAACAACGGTCCAAAACAGCTATGCATAGCTACGCCATCAATCAAGTGCTCATCATCAAAAGTGAATTTTATTTTGTCAGTACATAATAATAATGTTTTGTCAGATTGTGTGTAGGTGACCAACAAATTGATATATTTGGACGTAAAGGGGTGTCAGGTTTATGAAATTTTAGTAATCTCTATAAATTAGGATACACCGAACCCATGTTTTAATTAATCAAACTCCTCTTTCTTGATAGCATTCGTGTTCAACAATTTGATTACATTTGAGTTTACTCCCCTTTTTAATTTACATAATCCGCCAGCGTCAATATCAGTCATAAATTTGCTTTTATCACTGAAAATGGATTTCATTTTTGTAATAGGACTTATTCATAATAATGACATCTGATCCTTTATCATGTTCAATTATAATAATATCAGCATTATTTCGCAACTATTTTAATGACTTGAAGTGCTCAGAAGTTAACATGCTTCTCTGCTTTGGTCCAAGAGAATGAAACTAGTGTGCTAAACCCACTAGTTTAGCTTTAAACCAACTTTTATTCTCTAAGGATGAAGCGGGTAAAGTACTCAATAGATCATAGAGGTTTTCTAAAGGGGTAATGATTGTTACTCCAGAGATTTGAGTTGCATGGAAAGAAAAATTAAAACGCATAGAAAGTACCTCCTTTTCATGAACGGACAATACAATGGAGGATAAATTAGTGATATATCTATCAGGATTGTATGGGAAAGAAGTGAGATGAATATATTATCATTACAGCAAGATTTTTTCGGCTTTTTTTAGATCCATTGTTTCGTCTTCAAAATGCAAGTACCACGAAAATTGATGACTTTGATATGGCAAACTATAGCTATTTCTGCCAATACAGGCAAAGCAGGATAGACAAACATCTTCCTCAATCGCAAAACATTTGGTTGTGACCAATCATAAGGTTGACATCAAGTCAGCCTTTGTAGTGTTGTACAAAAGCCTTGAAGAACGCACACTAAGGTTTATTGAAGCCTTGGCTATACGGAGACTGAAACCCTCTTCATGTGTTCAAAGACAATTTGTTCTTACCGTTAACCTACCCTAGTAATAGTGATTTATTATCCAGCGTGGTTTTCACATTATGTACTTTATTATTCTTTATTTCCGCTTACCTTTTGATTTTTCTAGTTGACCTTTAATTTTTCACATAAAAATGTCTTAACAATTATATATGTGATCAGATTGTTTGAAATGTATTGCGCAAATATATCACATGATTCTGATAACCTTCGTCTTCTCACTGCATTACTGAAATAAACAGGATACCTTATAAGAATCAGGATATTATCTTAAATAATTCCATATTCTACCCATGAATAAATCTTGTCAGAAATAAGGGGAGACGTATTACGTACAAATTTAATGGATGAGTTAGAAAGAGCAATGATGTGAAATTTATAATTCGACCGTTAAATTTTATTAAATTCACTACTTTCTGTTTGCTCAGAATTTTCTAACCGCTCATCTGAGTGATCGCTGTTTTCACCAGATTTAGATTTTGACTTTGATTTCAGTTTTTTTTTATTTAATCGTTTTGCTTTCTTCATTTGACGCTTAGCACGCTTTCTAGCAGTTTTTTCAGCAGCTAGATCATTTAATGCTTTTTGCTTCATTTGGAACTCTCTGTCTAAACGTTCCTAAAGAAATTAATAGTGATACACAATAAAATGTCGTACCTCTTCTGCAGTTTTTTCAATCATTTCTAAACGAGTATATTCTCTTCGTCTAATCCCTCTATAAATGTGAAAGTCCCCACTGCCCACTCCAGCGGCAGAGCCTAAAATTTGTTTGGATTGAAAAGTGGCATTACCCCATACATTTCGAACGAATTCAGGTGGTGGTTTAGGCAGCTGAGGTTGAGCTAATTCAGGAGCTACGAGCGCTTCTTCCTTTGTATGAAATGAACGTAAACAAGTATTTGGCAAACTTACCGGATGTGCGAAATATTTCTCAATATCACGCCGCACGAAGTCATACGTGCCCATTTTACGATACTCATTACGCTTAATTTCTTCACCAGTTTCTAGATTCACATCTTTTTGAGCGTTATTTAGATTCATAGGTATGAAACAAATTTCAACGTTTGTCTAGGTATCCAAAAGCATAAAATGTACCGAATAAATTATAAACATTTACAGTATTTGCGTGTCTAAAAACGAAACTAAAACTGGTAATGCGTGGAGCCTTTGCTATCGCTTACACATGTCTCCGTCATTTACATGGGCAGTAGTTTTTCGAACAAAACTTCAACCATTAAAATTTTCTTTTGAAATATAGTAACTATGTTTTTCTATAATAATGCATCGAATATCGTCATCTATGCCAGGTATATTTACTAATTGGTTGTGATGAACAATTCATTGGAACTATTGATAGCTTTTATTATACTTGAAGGAAATACAGGTAGTTTAAAAGATCAACTTTACACTAAAATCGTTACTTATACGAACTTGAACTGTGTTCTTACTTTTATATCCTTGAAACGAACGAATCAAGTGGTATTTTTCGTGGCCGTTTTTTATTTCGAAAGAGTTTAGTGTTAGTGAAGCGTTTCCTTTGTAATTATTATTAGTGAATGACGATATGAGAAAACTCAAGAACAAAAACAAACGCAATAGTGAAAATTTCAGCTAACAAAATGATCCACAACTTATTTCGTTTTACAAAGATGTACTACAGACTTGACCTTTATTCGTTGTTTTCTTAAGCAAGTTTCGTGAAGATTCTGATAACAGTGGAAAAACGAGCTGTAAGTTCCAGTATTTCGTTTGCAAAATACCTCCAGTAATAACAAGTAAATAGCTATAGGTTCCAGGTTCCATTAACTGGCACAATTTAACGCAGCTGCACAATAATAATGTCAGTGTAGATTAAACGACCTAACTATATCTTTACAAACTAATAAATGTTGGGGTTGGGTGAAAGCTTTTAAAACGAGCCATTTGATAAAATGTAGTAAGTGAGATAATTCCGAAATACATTGAACTATCTAGCCAGTTTACCTGAACATACATATATCAGAGAAAATGTGTAAGGTAATATATGATACAGATCGATAGTCTGTGTAGACAATACCTGGATGGATTAGTAATCCATTAGGGACAATAATCTGTGGCTGATAGATCTCCGTAGTCATCAAAAGGTGAACTGAAGGTAACCGAAACGCATAAATCCGACCACACGTAGAAAGTTATACGTTGAGGCAAGACACAATGTAAGTTTTCTAAGTATCACTATGAATCCACATCATTCAACGAAAAATCCTTCAGGTGGATTTAATAGTTTGTAATCATAATCAGACAAACGAATCACAGTTTTTACCTCTTGTTAATTAGATCCCGAAATCGTATGATTACCTTGGTATAGGTATGAACAAAACTGTTGCTTATAATATCACCGACGTAAGCTTTAACATGATATGAATGATATAGAGTATCGTTATTCCAAAAACTCCAGGTTCATGTGAAAAAAGTCGTAAGTAACCTCAAAAGTGATCGCTTTATGATTTAAAAACATCGAAACAATCATACAATGAATGTGATAGGTCATAAGGCTGTATACGAATTAACGTACATTGTCTAAAGAAAAACTAACAAGTTCTATGAACACTCAATGAAGAGCTCTATCGAAAACCTGGACACGATTCAATAAAGGAAGAAGACAACAATTAACAACAGCCGAACAAGAGCAGAGAAAGTCAAGGCACAGGCTTAATACACAGAAGCAAACAAACAAGTGAAGAGGAGCATTAGAGCTGACAAACAGAACTATGTGGAAGACCTAGTAACGACACAGGAAAAAGCTGCAAAGAAGGAAGTATGAAACAACTACATGATACAACGGAGAAGCTAATATGGAAATACAGTAAGCCAGCGAGATCGATCAACGACAAAGAAGGCAAGTCAATCACTGGAATTCAAGAAAAGAGGAACAGATGGATTGATCACTGAGGAACCCTTGAATGAGCCAGCCCCAATGAATCCACCGGATATTGTAGTAGTACTTACAGATCTTCCTATAGATGCCACTCCACGAACGACCGAAGAAATCAGGGTGTCTATCAGACAAATCAAGATTAGAAAAGCTGTAGGACCTGAGAATATACCAGCTGAAGATCTTAAGTTTAAATCAGACATAGAAGTAACTGCAAGTATGCTTTACACTATATTCAGGAAGATTTGGCAGGAGGAAAAAGTGCCCACAGACTGGAAAGAAGAACACCCCATCAGGATACCAAAAATGGTGGTCTGAGCAAATGTGAGAACTAAAGAGACATCACGCCGCTGTCAGTACCAGGGAAAATCTTAAACAATGTTGCCGAACCGGATGAAAAATTCAGTAGACTCTCAGCTTCGCGATCAGCAGGCTGGATTATATAAGAATCGGTCGTGCATTGACTAAACCATGACACTTCGGATTACTGTTGAACAATCAAATGAATGGAACTTGTCACTATACACCAGCTTCCTTGATTATGAAAAAGCATTCGAAAGTCCGGATAGGTGGACTTTATGGAAACTTCTTCTACACTATGGTGTACCGGAAATCGTCAACACTGTACGGAATTCATATGACGGTTTACACTGCAAATTTGTTTATGCGGGACAGCTGATCGATGCATTGCAAGTAAAGATCAGTGTCACACAAGGCTGTTTACTGTCGCTTTTCCTCCTGGTGGTCGACCGGATTGTGAAGACCTCCCCATCTCAAGGGAAGCACAGAATACAATGGACAGCTTGGATGCAACTAGACGATTTGGACTTCGTAGATGACTTAGCTCTTCTGTCTGATGCATAACAACAAATGCAGGTCAAGACAATCAGTGTGGAGGAAGCCTCCGCATCAGTAGGCCTCAACACACACAAAGGTAAAACCAAGGTCCTCAAATACAACACTGTGAACAAGCCAATCTCACTTGGTGGAGAAGCTCTGGGAGATGTGGAATCTTTCACGTATCTGATCAGCATCATCGATGAACAAGGAGGATCTGATGCAGACAGAAAGGTGATGATTGGCAAAGTAATGGACGCATCCATACAATTGAAGAGCTTATAAAACTCAAAACAACTGCCAACCAAAATCAAAGTGAGAATCTTCAATACGAAAGGTCTACTGTACGGAGCTGAGACGTGCAAAGTACTACAGCCATCATCAAAAAGGCAGAAGTATTTATAAGCAGTTATCTATACAAGATACTCAATGTCCGTTGACCGGAAACCCTCAGCAACAGCCTACTATAAGAGAGAACAAATTAAGTTTTAGCTGAGGAGGAAATTAAGAAAGGACACTGGAAGTGGATAGGACATACACTACAGAAATCACCAAACTGCATCACTAGGCAAGCGCTTATCTGGAATCCTGGAGGGAAACGGGAAGGAGGAAGGTCGAACACACTACGTCGAAAATTGGAAGCAGACACCAAGAGGATGAATAGCAACTGGAAAGGATTGCCCAGGGCAGAGTTGGATGGAAAATGCTGGTAGGCGGCCTATGCTCCTTAACGAGGGGTAACGGGAGTAAGTAGGTACTCAAATGTTATTACTTTGAAATAATTACTAACTTTTAAATATCGTTTAGCGTACCGCCAAGCAGTTTGCAGTCATTAATGCTCCAAGTAAGAAGCAGGTACTAATTGCAGCAAATGACTTGTTGGTGAAGAACTTGCACGTACCCTACCTGGTGTATGTGGACCATAAAATAGTGCTCAACCAGATGACGATTGGTCAATCATCAGGAGTGAGGTTATCTACTACTGTAGTGAGCTACACAAACATACTCCTTCCCTAAAAGCTATTTACAGACTTCGAAGGATTTATTGGTTTCGTTCGAATTACCTGTCATGCCGATAATGTGACAAAAACACTGCCACTAAATACAGGGAAGTCCAAAAAGTAATCACAGTAATCCTATTGGTCTTTTAAAAAAAAGGCATTGAAACGGAAACCAGAGTATTTGTATGATTTAGTCGGCATGGATGTGGCTGAAATGAATGCTGCAATTATGTGTGTTCATTATATGAAGTTCAGGCTGCTCGACGCTATAGTGTGACCGACTGCACAGTGGGCACGTTCTAATTATGACTGTTTATAAAGTTTTTCTACACAAGTAGAGACGCTGCCATCAATAACTGCATTAACGTCTGTTGACATCGGGTTTGTGTTTGAGTAACATTTACAATTTAAGTTGTTTTAGATTCGCAAAACTTCATGCTGTACTGTATCAATGTCGTCAGCAATATTAAACTCCAGTGACAATGTTATGCAGCTCATGTCTCAGTCTAAGTTTGATGTGCATGACAATCTATGGGAACTTGACGTAAGATTATCAAGTTCTTTTTTTTGACATCTGAAGAGGAACTGTGAACGTTGGATGCGTGTCTAGCAAGAAGACGCGAGGGACAAACTCATTGGATTATAACTTTACATGTCAGACGGTCATTGTGCCGCAATCAATGAATGATAATCCCAAAACTTCCATGCGCTATATCTCATCGTACGCAGTGAAACCTGAAACGACCAGCCATATTACACTCTTGGCAATACAAGAAAAGAACTTCAGAAGCGCAAAATTTTTATTAGTATATCAATTAGTTATGTTATAGTCATTAGGCGCACTAACACCGCGTATTTTATCGCCAACTTCCGCAAAAAAAGACCTTGTGAAATTGTATAACATCGCAAGCTTATTTTTATGAAGTGAGATGAACTCTAAAAGCGCTGTCGGAGAGAAAATGTAAGCAGTAATTTGAAATGACAACTTTCGATTGCTGTCCTATAGATTCAGTGTTCTGCATCGACAAACATTACTGGAAGTGTCACTATATGTTGTCAGTTGTTGGTTGGTTTTTACTAAAATTCGGGATTCACAAAACAGTTACTACGATTCTGAATGGTAACAGTGATTTACCAGTGAGGTGGTATTTTATAAGTTCTTTGTATCGTAACTGTAATTTCCTCACAAACTATTTACCTATATGTCTGCTTTCTAACTTACATATGCTATGTTAAGACGATATAAACGTATATAGTGAGAGAATGCATGATTCAATATTGAGTCGATAGTTATAATACACTCCTAACAAATAGTAATATAATTGACTCAAAAGTCAAATTTATAATTTTTCAGGATAGACATAAATTTCATCTCAAGATTCACTATAAAAAGATACATTGAAATATAGTCACCTGTAGCAATTCGCGTCTGACCAGAAAGTACTTTGTGTACTAAGGGAGCATTCAGAGTAGCGTAAGTGATGAGGGCTGAAAAGGAGAACAAAAGAAAAGGTGAGTCGACGACCCAGCAAGCCCACACAATGTACTTAAATTTATAAGGCAAAGCAACAGACGACAATTACCAATCACACAAACTTCACGTTAAGACAATCTTGAAATCGAAACTGGCAACAGATAGTTGAACGAGTAGGAGCATATCACGTGTCAAGTAAACACAGCGGGCCACACAGTGCATATATATGCATAAATCAGCTACAGCTTACAATCTCCTCACTAAGGTTTACACGACTTTGTAGAGTTGAAATAGTGGCTGGCATTCTGTATTTGAATAGTGCGATGTGGTCAGCTATATAAATTCTCCATATATATATATATATATATATATATATATATATATATATATATATATATATACATCCGTAACTACTACATAGTTCTTAAAACATTCTTACTGACTGGTCAATTCAATTGCTTTTGTTTCTGTTATGCTATAGCTGAAAGAAATTCATGCGTTGTTTTACTGCTTCTTACCTATAACTAGTAGTGGTACTGCTGCATCAACTGGTTCCGTCACGGTTTCTGTAAACCTGAACGTTATTTTCCGAGATTTCTCGATCAAAAGTTTTTCAGTTGGAAAGAATTAGAACGCGGCTTTAAGGATTTTCAACAAATGAAACAGTAATCTCATGAGTTGATATGACATGCACTCATTATGTTCATCAACAAAGTTAAGAAAATAATGGTGAACCTTAAAAGTATTTACATGCTGCTTTCGAGTGCACGTTTAGTGTTTTTATTTGTGAGTGCTGTATCTATTAAGAAATTGAAGTCTTTAATTGTCCTGTTAATTAGGCATTGCAGAAGATGGCAATGAGAATTGCAAGGGCAACTATATTACCGAGAACTATGGAAGAAAACGATCATGAACCTCTTCCGTCATTGAGCCAAACTAATACCGAATATCCGTTTGAGGAAATCAGTGATATGTTAGAAAGGTTCATGAGACCCAACAAAATGAGACCAAGTCAGATATACTATCAGTCTCTTGCAGCAAGTTCTTTACCATGTAGCATCGTCAAATGACTTAGACGCATTACGTGCTATGTGAAGGCAAGTAAAATGGCCAAATGCCCGGGATACGCTATAAGTATGTTGTATATGTTCGTCCTTTTGTCCATCAAACGAAGCCGGATGGACGACTTTGGAGAGTAAAGCGGTAAATAATTGTTATTATGCTCACTCCTCTAGAGGCCAAAGTTTATCGGTCGCCAAGCCATGTTTTTCTTGAACTATGGTGTCATTCAGTACACGATAGCGTCATCTAGAATGATGTGCAACCATCCATGGAATGAAAACTATCTGACAGATGTTTCAGTCTTCGGTTTTAGCTTGCTGAGATTTGTCTGATTCAAATACCGTCCTTATTACGGAAATCTGCTTATAGAGAAGGAAACAGGCAGTTTAAAGTAAACGTAATTTGTAACAGCCTAGATTTTAGCCTTCCTCTATTCGAATTATGTTTTTTGGATAACGTTTAAAAAATTTCTTTGGTAATTATGTCTTCGAAAACTGTCGGTTTCGATAACATTCACCATAGAACCGTTTCAAACTCAGTAAGTCCAGTTTTCCTTCCTGCCGAAAATTTAAGTCTTATTGAATCCACCTGTCCAACTAAAACTCCTATTCTATGTTTCAGGTACTCAGTTGAGACAAGTCGTACAGTGTACGTTTGTTGCATATTACCATTTTACTCCAACTTTTAAGTGTCATACGTTTGACCTTAGAAAAATGGAAATATTATATTACATTCAGTATATACATGTTCGCTAAGTAGACAATGACGTGGTGAGAAAGACCGTCGTCGTGTTCTAAGTAAGAAGCTAAACGAGTGTGTAGATATATGTGTCGTACTATGTGGTGTGCCCTTAAGTTACTGGTATTCCATCATGAGTATTTGAGGCATCGCTCGCAAATTATAGGACATTCGGGTTAACAACTGGGAGATTAGAACACAGCACTCTATAAATATGGCTTGTTTACCGGCGGCGATGGTTAGGACAAGTATTACGCATGTCCGCCTACCAAGCACCGTGAGGTGCCATGATGGGTGATACAGATTGTAAGAAGGCTAGAAGCGTGCCGATTTGCTTCGGATGGTATTAAGTGAAAGGCCCTGGGTCTGTGACATGCACTACTTTTAGTTGTCACTTATTACGTGTGAGCTCAATGCCAAGGAGATTGTACTTCATGGATTTCTAACGAGAGTTAACTTCATAAATCAAGATAGAATCGGATTTACGAACTTATTCAGAAACAATTTCACAAATAAAGTAATATTAAGTACACATTCATATAAAGTCTTCATTTACATTGACAATGCAATGTTGTAGTCTTTATTTTTATTTCTGAAACCGAGGTTAAACCCAAGCAACTTACAAACAGTGGAAGCGGTTGTGGAACTAAAACAAATGCATGTATATATGAACGTGAAATAAGTAAACAAACGAACTAAATTAAAGTTTTTTAAGCAAAAAAGGATTTAGAAGACTGGTTTACTAACATTTTCATCCACATAGGTTAAAGATGGGGCCATTTCCTATAACCTTTGCAAAGTATAGTATATGCTAAATAACGTATTGTACAGCCTTTATACTTTTCCTTCCATTTACCTATTCTGATGAATTCGCGTCTCGTTTTACGGGAAAATATACAAGGTGACTTAGTGTTCGATAAAATAAAATTGCCAGTAGGGTAAGAGGTTTTTAATCTTTATTCACAGCCGATTGCATTTAATTAAGACGTAGAACACTCCTCTTCTGGGACAGTCAACTGCTCTTTTCCGATAACCTAACAAAGCTGCCAGTTGGTCATCCACATATCAGTGTTAACTCCGGGAAGAATTTTTTAGAGGTAGTGATTTTGAAGTATGGTCGAAGCCAGACGTATAGATTACATACCATCCCTACGGTTTTACGTGTAATTAATTAATGAAACAAATTGGTGATATGTTATGACAAGGGGTAATATGAAAAATATAGCACAATATTATCACATCCAGGTTCTAAACTTCAGCTTCCGGGATCTAGTTACATGAAAGTGCATGCAGAATTTCATACTGATCGCCTTCAAGTTTTGACGCTCAAGAGCACCAACGGAAGTGAAAATGTAAGCAACTTTAATTATCAAACTTATGTGCTTCATTAATTTCCTCAAGTACCATTATCATGTTGCCTAAACTGAATAATATTACAATCAAATATGCTAAACCAAAGAAGTATCGTATTTACTGTCTCATTTGAAAAGACATCATAATTAAAGTAGCTGACTATGGACAATAAAGCCTATAAAACCATGAAACAAACCATGGACCAATAGGACGTTCCTGGGAAATGAAATACCATATTGTTTCAAGACTGAACACTTCAATCATTCAGGCATTAAAATACGATCTACAGCACAACTGCAAGGACTAAACTTAACCTCAAGGTTTTCGCCATTGCTCACTGACAGTCTACTTCAAACAACCCCAAATACTAAGTTTGTTACAATTTAGGATCTCATTCCAGCCCAGGAACCGATTTTGTGATTCTTCTATGTGTGCGTTATCCAATCTGATTATCTTTCCACAGCGGATTTTGAAACACTATATTATCGTACTCTAACTGCACCTAATAAACCTGTTAAAAGTTAGCGTTGGCCTACATTTATCAAACTGGCTAAAAGTCCACTTGAGAGTCACTAGTAAGGGGTTAGTTCAGCAAGTACTTTTCACAGTTAACATTAGACAACAGGGTACCAAGATCCCAAGATCTTTCCTAGCATGGGTAACATCTATAAGGAGATTTTCCAAAGTGTATGTGAAATTTGCGCTATGTCTCAAAAGGACCGCTTTACAATGAAGTATTGAAAGTAAATCTATAACTATTTACACAACCTTCAAAGACAGAAAGATCCTCCTGAATTTTCGGCTTGCAATAGTGATTACAACATACTTTCCGAAGCTTGAAATTATTACTGAAGAGTAAAAATTCAGTGTAATGTCATTTGAATAACTTAAAAATAGAAAAGATCTTAATACCAAACCCTGGGGTATCACATAATGAATTACAGTAGCTCATATAAATGAAGAATATGCTATGGCCCTAAAAAGCTGTTTATTTTTATTTGAATTCAGTCGAATTATGAATTAAAACTGAGTTACTTTCGGCTCAAATACTCTTGAACAGTGAAACAGTGTTATATCCACATTCTCTTTGAGAACTCATCAATCCACCGTGGAACAGCAGTTCAGAAATGTAACGGTGGTCCGTCACTTAATCTTGTTATTGGCATGAAGAAATTAGGGAAACCCAATAGATTGGCGGACCATCATATACCAGGGATCGCTTGAACCTGGAGGGTGCAAAGATATGTGGGAATAAGTTCAATATGTTACGTATATCTAAAGCCATTGTAATATGCAAGCGTACAGAAAATGATGACTCTAGGCACGCGTTGTAATGTTCCTTGGTGTTCACCGTCCGAGTCTAGTGTACTGCGTATTCACCTTGCCAGAGAACACCACAATAACAAATCTGATAATCATAATCATGCCTAGTTCAACTGCTGTGTAAGCGTATGTTCCCACCGAAAATAAATAAAACCATGTACACCAGTATTATAAACTCGTAAAACACATGTTCAGCCAAATGCGAGACCAGGGCAGCCGCAACCCAAGCTCATACACTAACGACATTACTGACTGCTGTTAATAACCCAGTATCTGCTGACAGTAAGAAGCAGTGGTAATTGAGAGGCGAAATGGCTAAACTATAGCTCCTTAAAATATAAAAATGGGGAACAATGACGTTTGACAAGCTCCCTAATTCAATTAATGTTCCAGTGTCGGTCAGCAACTTACTAGATAGTAGAACAGCCTTTGATAAAGAACAGTAGGATAAGTAGTGAACAATTTCGGGGTGGGGTACCACTTCATCAAAGCTATGCCGCTCGTATAAGGGCCAAAACGCAGCAAAAGGTAGAGTCCTCCACCCAGCGTATCCTTGAACTCAGCATGCGTTACAAAGTATGCTTTACCGACATCCAAGAGAACATTGGTTAAACGATTCTCTCTAATCTGAACAAGACACGAAAAATCGTGGTCCGTGAGAAATGCCACCCAGTTATCTCGTGTTCAGCTTTAAGGATTGTGTAGTTATGACCAGTGTCTCTACAAGATCACCAAACATCCAGAAACCAAACCATATGGTCGTTCACATAGTTCTTAAACTGGAATTTGATAGTTAGAATGAAGCTTAGGGAAATGATATGCAGAAGTGGCGTTGGCCACCATGCGACATAGGTCTTTACGCCACTACAGTAATTAGCGTATCCAGGAAACCTTG